AAAATATCTCCTTACTGTTTTTTTCCTGACACATTCATAGTTATTAATTTTGCTGGTGATTAGCGACAAACTTTATGCACTTGAACTCGGAATAAGCTAGCTATCTATTAAAGGCTCATTATGGTTTAGTAGCTTATTTAAATAATTAGCCGACTAGAAAAATAGGTTTTCTAAACTATAGGTGCGTAAATAAGTTGAAATGCAAGGGTCTGACCTGGAAGAGGTTCACTGAACTTGAAATTGTGACAAATAGATTATGATTGTGCAGTGTGTGCTTATCAAAGTAGTAGTATATGCCAACAATATAATAATAATAATCACACTTTTTATTTAATGTTTTTTTTACAGTAAATCTGCCATACAGCACTTTAATCAAAATTAAAAGGCACTGTTTAATTTTCATTTGATTACATTTTAAAAGATTCAGTTGTCAATTTTTTTTATGTTTGTAATAAATTATTAACACAGAAATTAAAACAAACAACACAATTTCTGAAATAAATAGGCTTAAATAAATAAAACATTCCATAGGCCTATGGATATATTATTGTAAAAGTTTTAAAATATTAGGATGTTTTATAAATTCAATTTATCAGACATGTTTTAAGGTTATCAACGTGTAGAAAGAGGGTTACAAGATAAAGAGGTTTCAGAAATAACCTGCATATTCACTGTGGAGGAGGGCGTCTAATTTGATAAAAAATAATTTTAAAATCATCACACTTAAAGGGTTAGTTTACCCAAAAATAAAAATTAGGCTGCGTTTCACTCACCCCCGAGGCATCCTAGGTGTATATGACTTTCTTCTTTCAGACGAATCCAGTCGGAGTTATATTAAAAATGGTCTTTGATCTTTCAAGCTCTATCGTTGCACTCAGTGGGTGTTGCATTGCTTCTGTCCAAAAGACGTGAAATAAAAAGCGCCCATCCATAAAGAAAAGTGCCTTCAACGGCTCTGGGGGGTGAACAAAGGCCTTCTGTAGCGAATGATGCATTTTTGTAAGAAAAATATCCATATTCAACACGTAATTATCACTTGAATCTAGCTTTTTTTTGGGTGAACCAACCTTTTAAAGGTGAAAAAAAGTCATGCAGGTGTAAGCCGGTTGAATTTGCTATAGTTTTGAGACTGTTTAATTACTGTAACAAGTAGTGTTGTTTTTGGCAGCCTGTTTTAATTTTAGTTTTAGTCTAGTCTTTGTGTGAAGCTGACATTTTAGTTTTTATTAGTTTTAGTCACGTTCATACTTTTTAGTCTAGTCAAGTTTCAGTCAACTAAAAGTCTGAGCATTTTAGTTAGAATTATCCATGACTATTTTAGTCTATTTTTAGTCAATGAAAATTGTATTTTAGTCTCTTTTTAGTAATGCAATTCTATTTAACCCAATCAATATAGTATAAGTAACCAGTAGTATAGACGAAACCAAAATTTTCTTTTAACCAAACCCATTTCAAACAAGGTTATCTTATTATATTATTGTTACCTTATAGACTCAAGAATACATCCATTCCAGACACGTAAGACGCTCCGATTTGAATTTACAACATTTATTTTACCAACCAAACATGTTAGAAGTACACACACACATACATTTAAATAAAGACGAACCCCGGCTGGCCGGCCATCAGTCGCTTTCTCTGTGTCAGACTTAACTTTGTTTGTTGTCGTCTTCTAATAATGCCGCGAGTGGGGCTTGAGGAAGTGAGATACAGGAAACAGAAATACTGCAAAATAATAATAACGCGACTAAACGAGACGAAATAACGTTATAACATTTCGTTTCATCTCGTTTTGGTCAACGAAAATGAAGAGACATTTTAGCATAGATTTAGTCTCGTTTTTCGTCGTCGACAATATTGCATTATACATTTAATTAAAAGTCATCGTCACATGACCAGCATTTACGCTGCGTCTCGTCTCGTTTTTGTCACGTGATAAAGGTTCGTTGACGACGATATTTAGTCATAATTTTCGTTGACGAAAGCAACACTAGTAACAAGTTCTTTACCAGTAACAAAAGAAATGTTTAACAACAACAAAAAACTATAATGAAATCCCTTGGTTTCATCTTTAAAATAATACAAACATTGTGTATTGTGAAAATGTATTCAGAATAGTGGCAGCAGCCTTTCACTTCCTGCATATAAGTTACAACTTTACACGGGCATCAGTTAAACTGGCAAAACATTTTACCACTGGAAGACCAACTCACAAACACTGGCAGAGCCAGAAGGATGTGCAAGCTGGCAATGAACCCTAGGTGCCACCCCAAAATTGTATTCACTACTGATAGTTTTATGCTGATTGACATCTCATGTCGTCATCTGTTGAAAAAGCCTTTTTTACCCCAGGGTGGAAATCACATAAGCAATTTTACTTGATCAATGTACTGAAGTACACTAGTCAGCATTTAAAGTTGATCAAAACCTTTCATCAAAGTTGTCCAAAAAGACAATTTTGATGAACTTTTTTGATCCACTTCAAATGTTGACTACTATATTATTTTGGGGGATCTGTAGTTTACTCAAGTTCAATTTAAATCGACTACTCTGCAAAAACTGAACACACAAATGGGACATAACACACAGTTTCACCCAATCTCATGTTAATCTTGAGTACCTATAGAGTAGTACTGCATCCTTCATATCTCCAAAAAAGTCTTTAGTTTCATCACATTTTTAAAAGAAAGATACAGCTTTACGATTCTCTCCGAGAACAGCCGAGCTCCTGGAGGCGTGCCGTGGGCGGAGCTAAAGAGATGACGAGCACTTGAGTGCCGATTACCAACAAAACACAGACATTTGATGCCGGTTCACCTAACGTCTGTAGTTCTGAATCATGACCGGGATCTTTTATAGCCGGGACTGCTCCATCTTTCAGTATCAAACAAAGTGTAAATACAGCACCGAACTGGGCCTTGTTTATAAAACGTTTGTCCGTTGCTGCCCCGAAAAAACTAAATGCATCCACTGTTCACGTAACGCTGGGTTCTTCGGGAAGCCGAACAAGGTTGTCTTTCCCATACAACCAAAAACACGCTTCTTTGGAGACATTCTTCCCGAACGATGACGTCATGAAGAGCCATGATCGAAAAAAACTTTCTGAAACTTGTAAGAAACCCGGAAGTACGTATTTGGCTCAGAAATACTCCGTTATACGTCCAAATTGTTTTTTGAAACTTTTGCCATGTTTAGCATGAGAATCCAACTCTTTAACCGTGACAAATAACTCAACATGCATGAAACAGTATTGGACCCCACTTTAAGTACAAAAAATGTTTAGCGTTACAAATGGCAACGAGATTTTTTGTAATGTAAAAATGTAATGAATACTGTTGTATTTGTTCAAAATATAAAAATAAATGCCAAAAATAGGCGATTTTGTGTTCTTCTTTCTTTGAATCCTGTATTTGAGAGTGTATAACTCAAGCCCTGTATGCTTCAGCTATTGTAAGTGTTATTTGATTCTACTAGATGGCAGCAAACACTGGAAAAGAGCATTTTTAATCCAGCATTTTCCATTCAAAAGTTATTTTTATTTAACCAAAGGGAGGCGAAGTGGTCTTTTAGTGGCTTTTTGGAGTCTCCAAAGTCCTGAAGGCAAAACAAGCTATTATGAAGAAGCCTACTTTTGTCACATATTGCATATAATAAAAGAACTACAGAAACGGTTTCATTCTTCTCAAAGAGGCTCAATACATTCAATATACAGTGCAAATAATGAGGTAGACAAAAATAAGATTCGCAACATGAAATGTTTTTGTTATTCTACTATAAAATGTACAAGTGGAATATAATGTAACAGTCATCTAAAATACAAAAAGTGTACATATACAGTAGTACAAAATGTAGATTTTACAATGAGCAAATATTGAATGAAAAACAACCATTAGGGCCTATAGAGTTTCCCACTGAGAGAAGGACCTGTGGAGGACTTCAACTCTCTGTTGGCAGGGTTCCCACTCTAAGCCAAATGTCAAATTCCCTGACTTTTCCCTGAATTTCACTAAAAAGCTGAATTTCCATGACCTATAATGAACGGAAAAACTGGCCGCTGTTGTGCTGAGGTCTTTTTTTTTGCTTTTACCTCTCAAATGCACTTTGATATTTTTTTATACTTTCTTTTTTCTTTTTTTTTTACTCCGTCTTTGAAGTGGCTATTTTTTTTTAGCCAAAGCTCCTAAAAATGTACATTTTCTGGCATATTTGCCTTAGTTAACAGCCTGGTGACTGCATTTGACTTGAGTGATTGCAAGTTGACGAGCGGAAAGTTGAACAAAATGGCCCTGGAAAAATAGCCCAGGGCTCAACACTAAGGTTTTTTTCAGTGGTTCAAATTATTACTTGCCCTGTTAATATTTTCACTAGCCTTGCCACAAAAAATAAATAAATACAATTGTTGCTGTTATAAATTTTGTTTTATCTATGTTACCCTGCATTCTAATAAATAAACCTATGACACCAATATTTTAGATACCAATCAAAATTTTCAACTCTCGATTTAAATTTTAATACCACAGCAAAAACCACTAGCCTAACTAATATAAAGTTCAAACAATATTAAAGATAAGTGACAGCCAGTAAATAAGAACAAATGAACAAATTGCGAGTAATAGCAAAATTAAATATAAAGCACAAAGATAGAAATTAAATTTAGCTTAAAATTAATAAAATTTCAGGTACAGAAATTGAAGAATTACTTATAAAATAACATTTGCATATTCTTCACTCTGTGTTGCACCTTAATTTTTCATTGCCATTTGAAATTAGTGGCAAGGCAACCACTGCATTTTAATCATAACTCGATCCAAAAAAAAAGTGCAATGTTTGATTCAGATTAGACTTGGGCTACAGTTTCACACTCTGACAGCAGGTGGCGCTTGTGGAACAGCAGTGATACAGCGGTTCCTTGGCTACTGCTGTAAACACGAAATACTTCTCGCTGCAGACTGTAGCGCGGTGACGTCACGTACCTACGTCACGCATACTGGCGTTACTGTGCATGTACAGGTTCATTCACTTCCGGATGTATGGTGGATTCCAGATTCGGTGGCAGTAAGTCAAAGAACATTAATGTGTGTGATTTCAGACATTTATGACATGTTTTATGATATGTGTTAGTATTCGAAGTGACAGGGATTATGCTGCTGGTCTTTAAAAGTCTTATTTCGCCTAAAATGAGCCTTTAGAGATGTCTTAAAATAGAGCAGAAAGACATATATTAATAAAGTAGACTAATGACACTGATTGTTGCATGCGTTGCAAAAAATTTTTTCTCATATTTGTCATCTTTTTCATTAACTAACTGTTAGAAAACACTCTCTGTCTTTATTGGTTCCAGATGTTTTCACCCTCCTTTTCTTCCCTCTCTCACTCGCCCTCCCTGTACAGCGCACTGTTGTTTTCTCTTGATTCCCCCCTCCTCCATCTGTTCTCTCTCTCTCTTGTATTATGTTTTAATATCTCTTACTCATATTCGAGGTACGCATGCGCACATGTCTTTCTTGCTTCCCGGCCGTTATACACTTTAAGGGACTGAGAATTTTCCAGGTGGCAAAGAGAATCTATAGGGACCGATTGTTAATTACTGACACTAACATTATCAAATATTAATAGATACTGTAACAATTGTATTGTAATGTGTTACCTCTTAAATTTACCTTCATGTGACTGGCAGAAATCCTTTAAATGTGAGATATAGAAACCTTTACTTGACTGTAAATGTGCTTTTGTTTAGATGCATGCTACTGTCCTCAGAAAAGGAGAAAACATAAAAATAGAGCAATGCATCTCATACTGTGATAAATATCACTGCCCATTTTGTGAAACCTGGGTCTACAAACCAGTGGACTTTTACAGTGTCAAGAAACATGTGGAGGATCATCTGAAAACAGCTGTTCATGAAGAAGGTGTGTAGTGTTTGAACATCCCTAAACATTATTTTGTGAGTGTATTTGCGTTTTTACATTTCAGATTTTATTATCATCAGGTGCAACTTAAAATGCAGAGATGTTTCTCATTTTCATTGCTGCTACTGTTCTGCCACTATTATACGAAAAGCACAATTTAACATTCATCTCACAAAATGCAAACAAAAGAAACAAATATTCCGTCTCCACAAAGAACTGCAACACCCATGATTCTGATTGGTAATACATCTCTGCCTTCAGCTTCTGCTCAGACAGCACCCCTACTTCAGCCTCAGTCTCCACCAAGTGAACCACACGCGTCTGTGTCTCCTAAACACCATGTCCGAACTGGTTCAAAACAAATCAGGGTGAAATGTATTCACTGTGAAATTGAGGTTAATAAGAAAATCCTACGGCTCCACATTAAAAGAAAACATACAGATGTGAAACAAATGATTACATCTGAACGTCACTTTCTTAGTCAGTGCATCGACAGTGAGAATGGTATTTTTCCTGTTCAAAAATCTTTCTTTGGGCCATCACTGCCAATGCATGTGCAGAAGAGAACATGGGGGGCAAACCACAGAATCATGTGTGAGGTAGACCAGTGTAACGCAAACACAGAATTTGCATTTCGAAGTGGTTTGAAGGCATTCGAATGCGACCATTTGAAATCCTTGGATTTCTGTCCTGGAAGCACTGATGACACTATCACTCTACATGAAAAAACGCAGACAGAGATGGTGCAACAAAAGTGGTTCGGGGAAGACAGAAAAAAGAAGTGCATTGAAAGGCAGCGGACAGCAGCTGTTGTAGGTGTGCCACTCACAGTGGAGGTGACCATTTCTGGACACTCATCCAAGAAATATATTTCAGTGTATGAACCCAAACCTTCATATTATAGCCGGCTTGGGAGAGTAAATGTTGTGTATGACTAAAAAAAAATCACATGGAGTTGCCCATGCAACAAGACATAATCATGTCTGCATAAATCGATTGGTAAATGGCATTAGTTTCAAGCTCAAAAGTCGCTTTTTAGAAAAGTACGGACCACAGAAAGGACTGATCCCATCCCGAGTTCTCCACACCAAACAGAAGATCTACAAGATCAGCAGTACCCACCAAATGAGGCAGGCATAAAGAAAATGGTGCTATATTTATTGAAAGAGAAAAGACTTCCTGCAGACCTGCCAAAGGAACTGGTCAATGGCCTTCGGCCTAAGTGTGAATTCCCACGCAGCCTAACTCCAGAGGAGACTTTCTGCTCACAATGCAAGGAAAATCATATGCTAAGTGAGCCGATCCTCATAACATCAAGAGCAAAGATTTTTTTTTTAATGCAACATATTCAGAAATGTTGAATGACTGCTGTTTGAAAAGCAAAACACTCTCTTTTAAGGGATTTCCACCTACATGAAAAAACGCTGACAGAGATGGTGCAACAAAAGTGGTTCCTACGGTTCCTATTATAAATGTCCTACATCTGAAAGAATTTGCATTTGATGTTTTGTTTATTGGTATTATTGAATAGAAACAAACATTTTGGTATATGATTGTACATCGTCTGCTAAAATGAGCTTTAATTCGTATTGTAGTATGCACTCTACGTGGTATTGGAGGGGCGTTTTGATTTCAATGAAGTAAGTCTTAAATTCCAAAGTCATTTATTTAGAGATCCTTAGTTACCATTAGCTCATCAGTGCTCTATTTTACAGTATGACATGCCAACGATTAGAAGGTGCTGGTGTATGCTTCTGCTGAGTTATTATCCATTGACGTAAGTCAGATCAAGTTGTACTGTATGTGAAATGTTGCCAACTTATCTGTAAACATAAATTTAACATTTTAAATTAAATGGTACAAAAAGGTGTCTTTATGATGGCGCATATTGCTGCCACATGTTATGTTGTATGTTGTTTTTATGATATGTCGTTTTAATAAAAATTGTAATTTTAACAACAACTCGTTATTAGAGAAAATATGTCGTTTATACAACATAATCGAGTGGACAAAATAAATGTTTGTGGCAGCAATGCGCTACCGTGTGTATGTTTTAACTATAAAGTGCAAATAATTTCATGACATATATCCGTCTAAACCTGTGAATTTCAAATCTTCTTCTGGGGATGTCATTAAGATCAAACTCTCTTCATAAGCTTTGAAACATTTGAAGACGCGGAACGAAAACAACTAGAAAGACTAGAAAGAGCAGGTATGGGTTCTACTTTCATTCTTGTACAGCACAATTAAGAGGGTTTTGACATCGACGCTACTCTTATTACTCTCCAATTTAGAGGCAATGGAAGCCCCCCCACCTGTTGATTACTTAACCAAGGTAAGCACAGTATAAAATCCTGTCAATCTATCAGTTTCCTTTTTTAATATGTCTTATCTACAGTCACATTTTAGACTGACTGTTGGTTATTTTGGACAGACGCCACTGGAGATCCTCGGGCAGATCCTGTTGAGAGTGGTCTCAGACGACGGAGACATGGCCTTTATGAGACTTTCTCTCACGTGCAAGCTCTTTAGGGACATTGTCAGTGAGACAAAATTCAAAGAAGAGGCTCACTTCATGCGGCTAGACAGTAAGTTCTTTAACTCTAACGTGTAGTGAGTACTGTAAAAAGTTTTGAGATTTGAGTGTCTGTCTGTTTCCTCATCTATCTGTCTGATTTATGTGGTTTGGAATTGGTAAAAAAGTGCTAATCAACTTATAATTAATAATTATGCATGTTGATGGTAATGTTAATTATAAATGAAATCTCTTAGGTACTTTACAGACAAAGCAAATAACACACTTTTCCTAACATATTTTAAAATACATTTAAAATGTTCTCCTTGTATGGCTCTTTTGCCTTTCTTCAAAATGATTTAATGTTGTTTTAATATTGTTTGTTCTTTTATGTAAATGAGGTGTCGTGAACTGGAGGATACAGAGAGAAGTTCCGGGTGCCATATTCACTGACCCACTGTCGAAACATTTAAAGACTGTCCACCTGGCTATGGTGGGAATGGCAGGAGGGGAGTCCTGCGTGGGTTTTATTCCTTCAAAGACTTTGAGGGCTACTGCTCAGTTGATTGTTTTATTAATGATGGAGGTGTATTTCAGAACGTGTAGATGCATTTTTTTTTCTTTCTCATGTGTCATGTTTATAGTTTTAATATATATATGCACAATTACATTTTCTGTTTTGTTCTTTGCAATAATAAAAAAAAAAGATCACGGTTATCAGTTTGGTTTTTGGAGGCACCGTGCATAAAATGGGATGCAGACTGAAAATATACAGTATGTAGTCAAATTTAACTTAAAAATACTTTATTGGCTTAAATATTTCACATGCAGAATTGCCAAAGTAACAGAAACATGTCTATAATTACACTAAATACATAAATAAACAAGAACCATGACAGAGGAAGGATTAAAATAAGAAATATATAAGGTGCCATTAAAGTGTCGAGTAATGTTACAATATACACAGTGAAGTATAGTGCAACAGAATGTTAATTACTTGTAAATAAAATACTACACAGATATGAATAAACTGTAATTTCCGTATCATTTTACCGCAGATGATACATGATTAAAATCCTAGATATGTGCTGTACTACATTTTACTGTTTTTTCTTATTTTTTTTCACCTTAGCGTTTTTTTAATACTTATACATTTTATTAGAGTATTCTGTTATGCGCATGCGTTTTAATGACGTGTTGCGTCACCACGCAATGCAAATTACACACGCATGCGACGTCACCGCGTTAATGTAATGTAAACATTTCTGGAAACAACCAGTCCCCCTCAGAAACACATTCATATGATATTCAATATTTAGGATTCCTATATTTCGCGCGTCATGAACGGTGATCTTGTTCTGTCTGATACAGTATTTTCTCCTCTTTGTTTGGTTGTCGAGTTGCTGATGCTATGAGGGGTTAGTGCACTATTATTACTGCCAAACTTGTAATTACATATAAGATCAGGGAAAGATGGTGGCATCTAACAATAAAAGTAGTAAGTGATCGGTAAGATCCTGAGAGAGTCGGGACACCAGAAGAATGGAAAGAGTGTTTGAGTGAACTTGGCTTCGGATGTGTGTTAGTTCATAGTGTCATAATCCAGATACACTCTCACACCATCAAGCTGCTGTTCAACGTGAAAATCAGATGGTGAAGACCGTCCGTACCACACACACCAGACATCAGTGTTAAAGAAACCACGTCCCTTCCTCTGGTTTGATGCTGTAGTTATTCCAAGTCTCCGGTTTGACCTGCCTTTAACCTCCACATCCCAGTTGTGTGTTCCTGAGTTAAAACCCTCGGATCCCAGAACACAGAGATACTCGTCAAATCTCTGGATTATCAGGAGGAGGTTGATTGTTCCTGCTGATCATCAGACAGGACGAGATCTGGATGAGTTGTGTTTGGATCCAGAATCACAGGAGCTGATGAGACACCATCAACAGATGCTTTTAGTCTGATGTTCATATAATGATCAAGAGTGAACCACACACAGATGATTATGAATTATGACACTCGTCCTGTTTATTAAACACATCAGACATTTTTCTCTGATTACCGTTAGTGCTGTGAGCTCCGGGACTGGAGCGGGCTCCGTGAGATCCGGGACTGGAGCGGGCTCCGTGAGATCCGGGACTGGAGCGGGCTCCGTGAGACCCGGAACTGGAGCGGGCTGTGGAGTGTGTCCTCCTGTCCTCCTTCTCACCCTCCGCCGCTTAGTTGGAGTCTGAAGGACAGAGGTGGTGAGCTCCGGGGCTGGAGCGGGCTCCGTGAACTCCGGGGCTGGAGCGGGCTCCGTGAACTCCGGGGCTGGAGCGGGCTCCGTGAACTCCGGGGCTGGAGCGGGCTCCGTGAACTCCGGGGCTGGAGCGGGCTCCGTGAACTCCGGGGCTGGAGCGGGTTCCTGCATCTCCCGGGGAACTGCCAGAGACTCAGACCGACATGAGATCACCAAGTTGCGGTAACCAAGGTAATCAATGAGGCCCCAAAAGTCAAGCATTTTAAGCCCATCCATCTCCCGAGTAGGCACGGGATTGTCTAAACTACCATTAAAGATTTTCTTCAAATCTGTGTCATGAAGTCCCATCCCTACCGCAAGGTTCCAAAAGGACTGAGCGAAATCTCCAAAGTCCATCCCCCGTTGGCGAAGATCCGCCAACATCCGGAGCCGAGCCCTGCGCTCCTTCGAAGGAGGAGGAACAATCCGATCGTCCATGATCCAAAAAAAGGTAACAAAAACAAACTGCTGGAACTAGTAATGGCGTCTGGATTCTGTCACGGAATGCCAGGAGGAAACAGGGTAAGTTCCATGTGCAGTATATTAGAAGTAAAACAGGACAAAACAGAACAAAACGTTGCAAAATGTAATCCAAAAACCTGACACCGACAACACCAACCAAGAAGACAATATAATCCAGACGCAATGACAGACAGAGTGAGCATGGTATATATAGCTGGGATAATGAGTAAATGATAACAGGTGCTACTGATCAGAACAGAATTAATAAGCAGGGGACTATGGGAAATGGAGTTTAACACATACAACATAGAACAGACAGAGCGCCCTCAAGTGGCCAGTCCAGGGCACCACAACCAACACTGTGACATTGTCGAGTTGCTGATGCTATGAGGGGTTAGTGCACTATTATTACTGCCAAACTTGTAATTACATATAAGATCAGGGAAAGATGGTGGCATCTAACAATAAAAGTAGTAAGTGATCGGTAAGATCCTGAGAGAGTCGAGACACCAGAAGAATGGAAAGAGTGTTTGAGTGAACTTGGCTTCGGATGTGTGTTAGTTCATAGTGTCATAATCCAGATACACTCTCACACCATCAAGCTGCTGTTCAACGTGAAAATCAGATGGTGAAGACCGTCCGTACCACACACACCAGACATCAGTGTTAAAGAAACCACGTCCCTTCCTCTGGTTTGATGCTGTAGTTATTCCAAGTCTCCGGTTTGACCTGCCTTTAACCTCCACATCCCAGTTGTGTGTTCCTGAGTTAAAACCCTCGGATCCCAGAACACAGAGATACTCGTCAAATCTCTGGATTATCAGGAGGAGGTTGATTGTTCCTGCTGATCATCAGACAGGACGAGATCTGGATGAGTTGTGTTTGGATCCAGAATCACAGGAGCTGATGAGACACCATCAACAGATGCTTTTAGTCTGATGTTCATATAATGATCAAGAGTGAACCACACACAGATGATTATGAATTATGACACTCGTCCTGTTTATTAAACACATCAGACATTTTTCTCTGATTACCGTTAGTGCTGTTATGTTTTTTTTACTCATTTTTATCATCAGTGTTTAACAGCATTACAGGGTTCCTACACATTTTGGAAAAGTATGGAATTTGATTTGAGTCATTTCCAGGTCTGGAAAAATATGGGAAAAAGAAAGCAGAGTATGGAAAAATATTTGCATTTCCAGGCTTTTGCCCCTAATTAGTTATATGTAATATAAAATTAAGAATTTAATGAAAATAAATGTATCATACAAGAAGTATGGCAGTGATTCTTTAAAATAAGAGCGCGAGGTTTATCTGATAATCAGATGCATGAAAGTAGCATTTGTTGCTATAGCGAACAGACATCCGGCGCGTTTTCTTTCAGAATCATCATTCGCCGATGGAGAGGAGAGAAAATGAGATAAAGAAGCTTTCGCACTGAAAGAGAAGTGATCTCGCGCTCATAGACGTGCCAGGCTACATCTGCAGCTAAACTGAATAAAAAGCAGAATGAACTGAAACGTTAAGACAATAAACACAATAAATAAATACAATTTATGAATGACATATTATAGTAGCCTACAGAAACTATAAAGTATATATATATTTTTTAATCTTATTCTGTGCAGAAAATTGTAATAATTGTTTGTAGTATATAAAACAATCATAAAATTGCCGTTAGGAAAAAATTATAGATTACAAATGATTGATTATTGTCCAGCGGTGTGTTTGATTTCTTATAGCACATTCAAAGTAAGATAAGAAAATAATTCCTTGTACAAATTTTTTTTTAAATAGTAATACATACATACAATTAGACGTGCCAGGCTACATCTGCAGCTAAACTGAATAAAAAGCAGAATGAACTGAAACGTTAAGACAATAAACACAATAAATAAATACAATTTATGAATGACATATTATAGTAGCCTACAGAAACTATAAAGTATATATATTTTTTTAATCTTATTCTGTGCAGAAAATTGTAATAATTGTTTGTAGTATATAAAACAATCATAAAATTGCCGTTAGGAAAAAATTATAGATTACAAATGATTGATTATTGTCCAGCGGTGTGTTTGATTTCTTATAGCACATTCAAAGTAAGATAAGAAAATAATTCCTTGTACAATTTTTTTTTTAAATAGTAATACATACATACAATTATTGTATTGTGAATCGAATCGAATCGTTGTGAATTTGCAGAAATCGTTCTTGAATCGTGAAACGAATCGATTCGCTGTCTACCCACAGATTCACAGCCCTGATAGAAACCCTTTAAATCACACTGAGATTATGTATTTTTTTTACTTGTAAAT